CGATCTGCATGTTGGTGGCCTGATTGGCCTCCGCCGCCTCGGTGAACCAGTGTTCGAATTTGGTGTTCTGCCGCTGTAGCTCGGCGACGTTGGTCTCGAGCTGCCTGAAGCGGGATTCGAAGCGGCCAGTGTCCTCAGTGTCCATGTCCTGGTCTTCGTCCCAGGTGCGCCACTGAGCGTCGATCTGTTTCTGGAGTGTGGCGTGAAGGTCGGCTTTGATGCGTTCCTCGGCTTGTTGTAGGCGATCGGCTGCAGAAGGTGCAGCCGGGACCTTGCCTTCTTGCGGGTGCTGATTGAACCATGTGGCCCACGGGTCATGTCCTGACTGCCAGGGGTCGCTGGAGGTAGAGCTAGAAGGCTTGTCTTGGTTGCCGTGAAGGTACTGCTGGGTGCGGTCAAAGGCAACAAGTGTGGAGTTGGACGCTTCCGGCCGCACAGTGCGTAGCTTAGTGACCATGACGTCACCATGTGCTCCCTGCAGGATGCTGTTTGGCGGGGGATCTTGGGAGCCAATTTCCCATCCGATGCCATTGTGGTCGCCCTTGCACGGTTGCAATGGTTTGGCTCGCCATTTCCATGCAGCTAGGGACTTGACGAGGCCCTGGCGCTGAGTGCCGTGTGGCAAAGGAAAGAGCTTGTAAATGTCCGTGACCTTGACTGGTAGATAGGGTTCGTCCGGCTTAAGCTCTTTGTGGGCCTCTGGTAGCCGTGCCGCGTGGAATCGCAAGCCATAGCGGTCGTTGAGTCGAACAATGGAAAGGGAGCCTTCAGTAGTGCGGTGCTTGTGGTGGGCGGTTTGCCATGTGGCGCCAGAGAGCCAAACCACTCCATAGTTCTCATCCGGGAGTCGGCCAGTTGGGTCGCGAGGGTCGATGAAGAGGCCGTTGGTTCCCGAAAGAGTGAGCAGGTTGGGCAGCACAAGTTGTGGTGTTCGGATGAGTGCGGTCCAACAGACAGCTCTGGCTTTGTCGGTGCGAGCACCTGAGTTGTTGACCCACTGCCTGCCCCAGATGTCAAGGACGACATTGTCGATGTGGTCATCATCGACTGGAGGATGGAACTTCTGACAGGAGTCACCACATGCCGAGGTGCGGCACATTGTGAGTAGTGGGAAGGCCTGCATGACCTGCTTCATGGGTCCATCAATGAAGGTGGACCAGTCGCCTTGCCAGAGGTCCTGGTAGACGGCAAATTTGACTGTGCTGGTAGTGGTTGGGGCGATGTCGGGTGTGGAGCGAAGTGTGGGTCTGGTGACGGCAGTCTTGCCCAATTGTGTGAGGCTGCCTTGAATGAGCACTGGCTCTTGGGTGTTCGAGTGCATGGCTGGGTACATGAGGTCCTCGGTGTGGAGGTGGCCGCGAAGTGCTGGTGGAATGGTTGTTGTGGTAAGCACTGCGAGCGGTCCTGTGCTGAGCTGTTCGCCAGCTTGCAGATAAGGGAGCATTTGGTGTACAGTGGCAAAGGCGATGCCGGTCTTGCCCTTGCCAACAGAGTGCATTGGGATGGACTCAACTGGAATGCCATCTTCCCCGACAAAGGTGCCGGAGACGAGCTGGAGGTCGGCCGGGTTGATTTGAGCGTCGTGCTTGGGCTCTTTGGCGATGTTCGCCTTGTCCTTGTTCTTTTTCTTGTTGGACGTGCTGATGCCGTAGTTGGATGCGGCTCGCTGCTGGTTTGATCCACTGGAAGGAGTTGGCTGGTTGTGATCCGAGGGCCTTTAAAACGCTCCAGGCGTTTTTGTTGTGCAGAGCCTCGGAGATGTGCTTGATGCCGAGCTTTTTGATGGCTTGGGCTGCACGCTCTGTGGTGCGTTCTTGGGGCACACCTTTCTCGGCAAGTAGGGTGGCCAGTCGGCCAGAGGTGTCGTCATCAGCGTGTGGGCCGCGTGCAATGTGTAGGTAAGTGGTGGATGGATGACCATCACGAACTCGCCGATGCCAGGCGGTGATGTCAAGGGGATGTAGATTCGACCAAAGGTCAAGGGTGTAGCCGAGGTGTGCAAGTGCGATGGTGCCGCAAGAGTGGTCGTCGTGCTGGGGGTAGATGGCAGTGACGTGGATGCTGGTGCATGGAGTGGACCAGCAAGTGGATAGCCAGCGCGCAAGGAAATGACCCCCTTCAAGAGAGGGTTCAGGCATGCCATCGTAGAGAGTGGCTGAGAAGCCGTCGGTGGTTGGAGTGGTTGTGAGGAGGGCCCAGTGCCCGTTGTAAGCAAAAATGATGGTGGTCGGTGTAGTGGGGCTGAAGTGCTGGAGTTGAAGTGCTGCGGCGGGGCCGAGCGTCTGATCTGCTGGCAGTGGATGTGGAACAAGCAGTGGTGATGGGCATTGGAAGTGATCTCCTCCAAGTTCGCCATGAAGATGAGCAAGGCGTTCGAGTTGCGAGTAGATCTGTTGGTCGTTGAGGCCGTCATCTGAGTCTCCTGCTCCGGCGAAATGTTGCTTGCAGATGACTGTGGTGTTGCACCAGAGCCGAGTGTCGAGCGGAATGGCGTGTCCCTGCAGGTCGACTGGTGGGGTGTCTGCGGGTGAGATGTGCCCAGCGGCACAGGCCTGAAACAAGTAGGTGCCGAGTGGTAGTGTGGCCGAGGTGACGGTGGTGTTGGTGTAGAAGATGATTTCGACCTCGCGATCATCGTCGGGGACGGTGGTGGGGCTGTTGACGATGAGGGTGTAGGGTCCATGTTGCCCTTGATCTTGTAGGACTGCATCATGTGGGACGCGTCGAGATCCATCCCAGAGCTGGTAGTGCGCATGAGGATCTGCAAGGCGAGCTTCAGCTCGCAGCAGGTCAGCGACGTCCTGTTGTCCTTCACGTAGGATGTGCAGGTTGTTGCCCCATTGGTCCTTGATCCAGATATGTCTAGTGGCATGTGAGCTCTCGGTAGTCCAGAGGTGATGGCGCTGCCAGAGAAGGTCAAGCTTGGTCTTCTTGATGTGATCCTGAGGGATGCAGAGAGGCACCCAATCATAGTGCAGTTGAACTGCTCGGACTAGATGAAGGCACATCCATTGAGCTTGCAAAGGGGCAGCGATCTGGCCTACCAGGCAAAGGCCATCGCGAGCATCACCAGGGAACTGGTACTGGATGGGCACCGTGCACAAGAAGGACGCCTCCGCTGTGTGAAGGAATCTCGGCTTGCCGGTGACTGAGGAGATGATGTAGCATCCGCGAACCCCACCACGTTGAAGGCGATCAGGATGAAAGGCCGCTTGTCGGCATCCACAGGGGCATCGTTGAAGGACGTTGCCGTAGGAATGGAGCAGCGTAGGGCAGATTCCGGTCTGCTGGAGCAGGCGAGTTTCAGTACCAAAGGATGGGTCGTCGTAGTACTGAAGTTCTTCTTCGCTGAGTTGAAGTGCTTCTTCATCCTGTCGTTCCCAAATGGGCCACTCCGGAATGATGTGACCGATGGTGCTGTAGTGCTCATCTTTGACCCAGGGCACAAGCTGGGTAAGGTCAAATTCTCTTGGGGCAAGCAGCGCCCACCAGCGATCTCTGCGGCATGGCCATTGATCTTGCAGCGCCAGAGTGAGCGTCTTGACCTGGAAGCCCATGAGGTCCGCAAACACGTTGAGGTTCTCCCGGATGAAGGGATGTCCTTGTACTGCAGGGACACACTCAAGTAGCAATGCTGGGGCCTGCATGAGCCAGGCAGCTCGAAGGGTGGCCAAAAAGGTCCAGCTTCGGGGATCGCGATCTCCCTTCTTGTCGCCTTGAGCTGAGTATGGTTGGCAAGGGAAGCCAGCACTAATGATGGCCCTTCGTAGAGGTCCAGCTCCATGAAGTTTGGCAACGTCCGCGGGCTTGTGAACGTCGCCTTGAATGACGTTGCTAGCGCCATTCTTGATGAGGGCTTGGCAGCTGTAGGGATTGATCTCGAGGTGGGCGATGGGCGTGATGCCCGCCAGGGCGGCACCTATGCCAATGCCTCCCATGCCAGCGCAGATCTCTTTCATGTACCTATAGGTGTGGAGCGTCGTGGGTTCATGGACGAACCATGCAGAGCAGGCCTGGTGCGTGAGCCACATGGTGCCATCTGATGACTGGCGCACATGGAAGTCGTAGAGGGTCGCGGTCTGCCGTGGTGCAAAAAGCGCAGCCGGGGCAAACGCCAAAATGCCAGCAGGCTGGATCTCCACCTGGACGAAGTCACCCGTCAACTCGTCCAGGGCGAGGACCAGGCCCGTGAAGAAGCCTCCGTGGGCCAGAGGCTGCTGAAGCCATGCCGGCACTGTCATGGCGGGCCAGCTTCAGGGGTTTGGCTGACTCCACCCTACCACTGGAAGGACCCTGAGCCAGGGCTACAATCAAACAATCAAACAAACAAACACACACGCAAACAATCAATCAATCCTGCAAACACAACAAACAAACAATCACACAAACAAACAAACAAACAAACAAACAAACAAACAAACAAACAAACAAACAAACAAGCAGCAGGCAAACAAGCAAGCAAGCAAGCAAGCAAGCAAGCAAGCAAGCAAGCAAGCAAGCAAGCAAGCAAGCAAGCAAGCAAGCAAGCAAGCAAGCAAACAAACAACATACCAAAGAAACACGCACACACACAACCACACACACACACACAACATACCAAACAAATTCATCACAATCACACAGAACCAAGCAAGCAAGCAAACACACAAGCAAGCAAACAAACACAAACGACAAACGCACACAAACACACTTTTCAACCTAGTCCAGTGTCAAAAACGCCGCCTTGCAAAACTTTCCTCAGAAGCCCGGTGGCTAGGGTCACAAAGGCGCATCCTTTCGTTGGTTGACTCGTAAGGGAAACCCGCCCAAACAAAGACCCGGTTGCCCAAAGAACCCAGAAATAGAAGGTTAACCTTTTGGCGCAATGACTAAAAATGTGCCGAATCAGGGAAACCAAAAGGTTAAGAAGGCCGATTCAGTTTGGTTGCAGAAGTGAGAAAACAAGAACCAAGGGCCCTTCGGGGTCCCAACTGGGTCCAACAAACCCTTGGCAAAGGGGCCGCTTGTAGAAGCGCATGCCCTTCCTCGGCGCGTACTTCCCGATCACCACGCCGGGGAGCCTTTGGAGCTCCTGAAATGTCCGTTTGGCCAGGAACCCGGGGGGTGGGTGAGGTGAGCCTGAAGGGGCGGGTTCCGGCCCAAGGCTTCCGGACATCAGCTTGCGGCTCCATAGGCCGGGGAGGTGAGAAATGGAGTGGAGTCTGAGCCCAAGGAAAATCAACCCAGAACTGGATGCTCCAGGATTTCTCATTCCTACCTATCGCACCAGCAAGATGGGTCTGTGTGTGTGGTGTTTTTGTTGTACCCTTTTTTCACTTCGGCTTCAGAGGAAAAAACCAAGGACACCTGCATAACTTGAGCGCCCCCCCCTGTGACACGTACCCGCATTTGGTTGACATTTGCTTGCAAAAAGAGACTTCTCCACGTCAAAATCGCGACAAGGGCGCAAGTTCGGTCGGAAGGCAAGGTTCAACCCTATGCGCCGAGCTCTCCCGGTCCTCTCTGGGAACGTTCTTCTCAAACCACCAGCAGCCGCTCGGATCCCCCTGCATCAAATCTGCAAATTCAATCAAATTCAGTTCGATCCCATACCCAGCGGGGAACAAATTGGGTCCCCCATTCCACACATGAGTCTCAACTTGTATTTGTAAACTGCTTGGAATGACCTACTCTTTGGGGTCCTGGAACCTGGCTGAAGGTTCATGGTTTGGACCATTTCCCTCAAGCCACCTGGTCAGCTCCATGAGGGCCACGGTCAAAACTGATGGTTTTCCCCCGCAATGTGGAAATCAGGGACAATTTTGCATGAGTTCCCCATGCCCCCTGATAAATCATAGACATTCATGCCAGGCACTTTGACCGAACCTGGCAGTTGCGGGGGCCACAAGATCAGGTCTTCGGGTGTATCAGGTCTTTGGCGCCTGTTCCAGCGTCCCTTCCCCCGAGGACTTGCAGTTGATCTCCTCGGCTCCAGGCGAAAGGTGGGACTGGGACATCCCTGTCGCCGTGATTCGGTTGTCCGTTTTTTTTTTTTTTTGGTTTTTTTTTTTTCTCGTAGCCGTCAGCCGTAAGCTTCAAGAAAAGACACGACTCCAAAAACAAGGCTCTGTTTTCATCCAAAGCCCTGGGCCGCTTGGGGTTCCTCAACAGAAACCACCTCCAACCAACCAAATAAAATACCCAACAGGGGAAGCACAACACACAAACTCATACCCAACAAAAATCCCCCAAACCAGACCTAAACCAAACCGAATAACCAAACACTGCATAACACGCAAACAACTGCAGCGCGACCTGAAAACAGCACCGGAATTCAGCTTTAAAGAACTTACACACTTTGATTTGAACAAGTGGACTGAATAGGAATAATCCACTTTAGGGGCCCCAAACTGGTGGTTGTTCTTTTGGATTCACTTGAGCCGACCCCAGAAAGGGCTCAGACCCACTTAGCTCTGCCTTGAGGCCGGGTGTCGATTGGGCCATCGTAGCGCTTCAAGAACTTGGCCGGCACGCACCAGGGGTGCCCGGCTTTGCCGGAACAGTCGCCCTCGGGCCAGCACAAATGGCATGTGTGGCATATGATGCAACCGCTCACATTATATCTCATATCATATCATATCATACCACATACTATGATACTGTGTATGTCTATTTATATGCATTCTGTGTATATATATATATATATAGAGATACATAATGTTTTGATATATATATATATTATGTATATATATATATATGTATTCTACATGTTGTTTAATATGTATATGCATCTCAATGCAAGCTTCCCTTGCATTGGCAAATGGGATAGGTGGGGTTCGCAATAGTTCACATTTACCCCTTACAGGAGCAGGGGTTCAAGTTCCCAAGCCAATCCAAACCATCAATCAAGGGTTGCCGACCAGACGAGGTGAAACAATACACGTCCGTCCATGGTCAAGGCCAAAATTTGCCTGGGTGCCGCTAGAAGCCATGGGTAGCCTCTCAGGTTGGCCCTAGTTTGGTCCCAGTCAATTTTGGGCCGTTTTGGAACGTGTTCAGTCCGCCCCCTCGCATCTTGGTCGTAGTTTTGGAATGTGTTTGCCCTAGTTTTTGCTCATTTTGGTCGTAGTTGGCTACAAGACCTGGACAAATCGACGAAGAGCTAGGACCGAACAAGACGCAAGCTAGGCCCATACCTCGCCCTGAGCTCCCGGTTTCCCGGCCTGGGGGCAAAACGGAGCACCCGTTCGTTGCCCAAAGTCCTGCGCATGGCACTCATGGTGCTCACTCACTAGGGAATGACCGATGGGACTGAACGCTTTGGGATTCCCGTAGAGGAAACGAAACGATGGCGGTTTTTCGGGGTTCCAACTCATGACCTGCCGCACGGAGACAAATAACTCAAGGCCCCGCTCCAGTGGCAGCGCCGTGACCTGAAGCTCACGAAGGTGGATCTCTCTGGCCAAGACTGTCCCCTTTTCAGCGGGCATGGGGACCAAGACAACAAGCTTGTGATATTATAAGAATAAGAAAGGCAGCAAAAGGGTAAATCAGTCACTATCAGGTTTCATGGGCAAAACATGTTGGGTTCTGTCGCCCTCCGCAATGGCTGTGGCTCAAAAACCTGGAATTCCAAAATGGAGCCTTGCTAAGTGGAAACATGGACCAAAACCCGCGAAACCTCTCCAGTTTAATTTTGAGCTACAGCCAAATGCGACATTTAGGGCAACCGAGGTGCGCAGGAGTCGGAGCCCTGACAAAGCTTGCCCTTGTAGGCGCCGGTGATCCGGCCCCAGGGGTCGCAGACTTTCTGAAGCCGCCTGATTTGATCCGATCCGAAACGTCCGGTGAAGAAGGCACAGGTGGTTTAAGCAGTGGCCATGGGAAACGAACCCCCCCTCCAGAACAAAAAAGAAAAAGTGCTCAAGAATGCGTTTTACTGGCACCCACATTTTCGCAACATCGATCTTGTCCAAAGGACAAAAGGCGCTAGGTTTGACTGGGTGCGACTTACAAGCATTATTCCAACGATTCTGTTTTGTTCTTGCCGTCTTGGTGGTACCACAAATCATCAGCGCTTCCCTCACCCTTGTGTCAAACTGGCTCGAGGTGCAGCCACTACCTCTGCCCTTCATGTGGTGGACAAAAACACATGAAACCGTGGTTGAAACCATGGTTTGTTGGTATTCGTGGGGGAATCATCATTCCAAGGAGTCTAAACGACAGAGACAAACCCAAACGCAACCAACACGTATGGAGACAGAAACCGAGATCAACACAGAGACACAAGCACTCACCCACAGAACAAATACAACAAAGGCGACCATTGCAACTCAAAGGGCCAAGGACCCAGAAAATCAAGCTTGAGCTTTTGAGGCCAGACCCAAAACCAAAAGCAAAAAGGGTCCAGGGTTGGCTTTGGGCAAGTGAGTCATATTCAACACCCGGTACCAAAATGGTCTACCCAGAACCACACAAAGAATTCAGGCGCATATCCGCAACAATCTATGGCAAGGGGATCATCCCTTACTAACCTTCATCTACCCGGGCTTTGATTGTGGCTCAAGTAAATTGGATGACTCCCTAACCAGTCTGCCAGGGCACGGCTTTTGGGCCTTCGGCGCCGGCTTCGCTGCCGGCTTCGCTGGCGCCGGTCCCGGCCCCGGCGCGCCAGGCGTACCTAGTGCGCTTGTGCGGCCGTTTCTTCTACGTGCCAGCCCCTGAAAGGAGAGAAAAAGAACAATGAAAACTCAAGGAAGATGCGAGTTCAGCTCTTTTGGTTTGCAAGTTCTAAATTGCAACGCCTTAGCATATGATTTTGCAATAGATTTCATGGGATTTCCTTTCCAAATAGAACTTTAATTTGGATTTAAATAGCATCTACTAAGACAAACAATCTTGCTGCTTCTGCTAATTTGCAATGCCCTTATAGAGAGTGAACAACAAGTAACGAAACCATGGAACATGCAAATTCCACGTTCATTGGCGTGCATGGCGAAATTTGCAAGGTTTAAGCTTAAATGAGATTTCGATTCAAATCCGTTTAAATTAGTATCTCGAAATAGACTTTACATAGTACATCCGGCGTAAGTCGGATTTGCATTACAATTACTTGAAACTCTTATTTTGAGTTAGATGCTAAATAGGAATGTCTGTCCAAGGTTGAGTTCAATCAGAGCTTAATCAGACTTATTGTCTTGAATGAGACTTCTAACTGGGATTTCTTCCAATTGGAAATGGGAATTGCGTTTCCAAGTCGGACCTCAACTAACATGAAACTAGAATATCATCAGACTTTAGTTATTATTTTGACTGGGCTGGTCGTTTCTGAGTAGTTGAATTATAAATACTATTTTGCAATAGACATTTAAATAGGATTTCGTTTCCAAGTCTCTAGGATCGGAACTAATGTGTAATTATAATCTAAATAGAATTTGGTAAGGAAAGACAAGCTGGTTATGTCTTGTCGTTGTTTTAAACGGAATTCTGACATAATTATCAGATATTTGCAATTGGACATAGATAGGAACTCTCATGTTCAACTTGACTTTAACGTGGCATTAGTTCCTGTCCCTCTAGGACTCTATGTAGACTTCAACTATGAGTTAAAATAGAATCTAAACATGAAAACACAACTAGTTGCTTCTTCCAAGTTGCCTGCCCCTTAAAATGAGAAAGCCCAAAATCAACCCTGAGAAATACAACAAACATACCAGGACTTCGAGAAAACCAACAAACTCGAGCGACCCAAACAACATGTGTCCAGAACTATTTAAACATGAGTCGTGTTCAAAGAGGTTCCAAACAATGTGTGTTGGTTTTCTCGAGGTTTGTGCGGTTTGTGGGCTTTCTCGCTTCTTGCTGGATTTCTGCAATTTGTTTTGGTCTTGCTTGTCAAGATGTTTCCCTTTGGAGAGTCGCTTGACTGAGCTTGACCCACGGGAAGCCTCCAAAATGCGCGAAACCAGGGTCCATCCTCCAAACGGTAGGTAAAGGGAAGCAACCCCCATGGTCTCACTTTGATACCCAGCAAAGACCACCAAAATAATGACCCCTGCCATTGGTACGTTGGCATCTGATTCCTTGATTCCTCAGGCCATAAGCTGCTTATCATAAAAATCCAGCTTGAATGAACTCCAACAGGTAGTGCCACGGAGAACATGGCTTTTTGTGGGAAACTTCTGTGTATTCCCGCAGGCTCTGCCTACTCGGATTCTCCGAGGCGGCGCTGTTCAACGTGACTTATCTTTGAAGGTGGCGGTGCTTGCCCACGTGACTGATACTATGGTTTGTATTGAGCCACAGGAGCAGCCAAATCTGTCAACACCCATGCCCAAATCCTCGGTGCCTCCGGCATTCTCAAGAGTGGCCATGATGACGCTGCGCCAGTCGCGATCATGATGCTTCACGGTGATTCACGATGAGAAAGCTTCTTGGAGCCATGGGGGCTGTTTGTGATGCTTTGACAAACCTCAGTTCCTGGAAGACCCGTGGGGGTCACGATGACGAAAGCCTGCCAACAGCCCCTTCGCGACGCCAGTTGCACATATCTCCCTGCAACAAATCCCAAGCCCCCCTCCCCCCCCCCAAGAGTCTGACATGCGTGGCCGTCCCAAAAGCCTTACATAAGGGGATCCACAAGTGAGCCAAAATCAAAACCTGGTGAAAACACGAATGGTGAACCCAGAACCATGTAAAGAACTGAAAAGGCGGCCACTCCCATTTATGGCTGGGGTTGTCCCTTACTAGGTGTTGTTTGTGACTCAAGTAAAGAACCTACAAGTCATACTGTGGATGGCCAAAATCCTGCGCCAATTTAAAATCCATGGCAAGCCAGTGTTTGTCGGTACTTACAGGGGAATCTTCATTACAGGGCTTCTTAAATGGTGCGAAATTGATTTCGCAACCATCCATTGTAGTGAACTCATCTTCCCCCCGAATGGACCATATCCCACTTCGGCCTGGCTTCGGCTGCGCAGCTGGTTGTGGTGGTGGTGGCACCACCTCCTCCTGGCTCGAACCGATCCAACTGGGAAGCGCCGCGTCATCCACGTGGCTTGCTTCGTTTTGAGGTTGCCTTTATGTATATTTTAGAGGGGAACCAAAAGGCAAACCACACTTTTTGGTGGGGTCCCCATATTGTTCACGGAAGCCAGCTGACACTCGGGCCAAGGGGCCAACATGAAGAGAAATCTGTCAACTAGCTCAAAGCTTGCCAACGGTGGGTGACAACTGGAGTTACTGTTATCTTTTGTAAGGAAATCGATTTGCCATCAACCACAAGGCAACTATCCCTTTGGTGAAATTTGGCAACTGCTCCCCAATCTTCGCTTTCCGAGCCTCGTCGGGCTTGGGGAAAGTCCTCTTCGGCGTCACCGAGCCATAGGATTTCTCAGCACGCAGGCCACCCGCAAACAGATTTGTTTAGTTGTTTCCTTCGGTGAGCAACGGCAAACCGCAGCCAACTTGAGAAGGTCATCGCTTTTCACCCTAAGGCCCCAGGATCTGCACGCTCTCTCCCCCTCTCACTTAGGTTCCTGCGCCTCCAGCCATGCTATCTGAGGCGCAGCCTGCACAAGATCTGGGCTTCCAGCTTAAATCATTTGCCCCCGACTGCACCCCCAACCTGCGTAGCATCCCTCCTGATCTTGGTAGTGGACCTGCCAACGTGCTGAAGCCGATATCTTAAAAAAAAAAAAAAACTCATAGCGCAGCAACATGTGGCCTGGCCCCTCAGCTTCGATTCCTTGGTTCGGACTGCTTCCTCGCCCAGAAAAAACAACAACACGACAGTAGCGGTCTACCTCGGAATTGTGGTTGAACTGCACCCAGAAGGCCTTCCCAGCTGCATAAATGCTTCACTGGGGGCACGGTTTCAGGTATCATAGGCCTTTTTCACTAGGGATAGGTTCGCAGGTACTTGTATCATGGGCCTCTTCACTAGGGATAGGTTCCCGGGCATTCATAGTGTGTCTCCGTGTTCTCGAGCACATGCTGCCAAGCGACAGGGTCTTGCCCAGCCACCTGCATGGTTGGTGGGTCTGGTGGCTTCGGCGATCCACCGAAGAGAAAGGCGGTTTTCAGTCCTGGACACTCTCTTTGATTCCAGTGACTCCAAAGCAAGAGCGGGTGAGGGAAACCCAATGCTTGTTGTTTATTTCCTTCAAAGCAGAAAAAGGTGTACCCGCAAATCAAACACACATGCACGAAGCGACAGGCACAAGTCCTTTCGCCGTCTTGGGGAATGAGAAAGTGACATCAAAGGCTGCAGCACTGCTGCCTGGCACACCAAATGCATCTCGCAGGCCATCAAGCTACTTGGGGCTGGCTTGCTGGTTGGGGGAAGCTTGCTTGGGACAAGTCCCATGCCTCTGGCACGGCAAAGCTGCACCCCGATTTCCTGAGAGCCCCGTTTCCCTCCGCAAACTCAAAGTCTCAAGCCTGTCAAATATCAGCGTGCCAAGTTACAAGTTCATGTATAACTCAACCCCGCGGATTAGAAGAGGGCGTGCCCCCCCAACAGTGACGGATCACCCATGAAGTATGATACCCCTATGAAAAAAACAATGGTTTACTTGTCAATCCTGGGTCAAGGAGACACTCTTCCGAGGCAGTAGCTGGCGTGCCAAGGACAAGAAGCGAGGGCATGGCTTGCAGCGGCGCATGTTGCAGCTGCGGAAACAACAAAGACGTGGTTCTTTCCTTTCAGATTTGCTCCTTGTTGCTGTTGACCACGACAAAGAACAAACATGCACATGCCTTCACTGCGTGTGGGGCGTAGACCTGAGCCCTCTTGCCCAAGACCTATGGGCCAGCCTCAATGCTGTTGTGCCTGCCTTCACATCGGGTTGCACCGCATTTTTCTTGACAGCGTGGGCTTTCCCGAGGAAAGCATCTTTATTGAAAGGCTTGCGAACAATCATCTGCACTTGGGGCTTGGGCCAGCCGAAGATGTTTCACCTCTCGATCATTGCTTGGCGAGCACTTGCACGTTGAGGCAAAGGCTGGTGACTTGTTTTTTCCCATTGCGGAAGGCACATCTCAAGGCTTCAGTCGCGCTAAAGATGTTGGAAGATCTGATGCCACCCGCGCAGGGATTGAAATCTAGAATGACTGGCGCAATACTCCATACCCAACATGCGTGAACAACATTGGCATTAAACGGGCATACCACAATGAACAGTTCATCTTCTACAGGATATGTTGCTTCGGACCTGGCCTCTCTAATGGGACCTGCCAACCACGTGAACTTCTCTGCAGTCATTGTAGTCCATCTCTGCGCATGCCCAATCGGCATGAACGGATGGAACTCAGCAACTCTCCCTCCTGTTTCAAACAACGATGGGAGGAGACCCAGCATCGCTAGAGGGGCTGGCGCGGCAAATGCATCGGCTGGCGCCTGCGTGGCTCTCGATTTGCATGGAGTTGCACGCGGCTAGGCAAGGCAAACAAGATATGCTTTGACCGCTTGAGATCCGAGCGCAGCGACCGCACGCGCCTCCAAGCTGAATAGTGCCAAAGCACATGTCTGCAGGCTTGCAGTTCATTCTGCGTTGCATTCGCCTCACAATGCGCACAACAATCATCAGCCGGAACCTGCATCACAGATTGTCGGTAGGAGGCAATCCAACCCTCTCCGACTGGACTTTAAGCTGATTCATGCCCAAACGCTGTAGGATGAGTTTGAGACAAGGCTCACTGGGATGTCTTTGGACTTAATCTGGCTCCACCATGCTTCAATGGCAGCTCTTTGCAACCATTCTCTGTGCCCGAGCCTCGGGTAAACGCTACACAGAATCAGCGGATGCACGGGAAAACTGAAGCGTACTTGGCAGAGAACCTGCTGACTACCAACTCAAATAGCCGTCCCTGGTAAGAGTCCAAGCAACGCTCTCCGCCTTTGAGCGACTTCTTCCCAGACTTTCTTCCACAATTCGCGGCTTCCCTCCTGAGCGGGGCGCGTGCCCATTGGGGACAACTCGCCGATTTTTTCATGGCGCAACCTGTGGCAGTTGGGCGCTAAACCGGGCAAGCTGCGGCGGCCTTTGGCTCAGTGGTGAGCTCCCAGCCAGCCATGGGGTCCAGGAGTCTCTCACCATCGTTCTTCCAGAATTCGAAGGGCTCCCACGGCAGCCATGCCCACTTCCTCAGACCAAAGACAACGGGGCCTGGGGCCTGGGCAAGCTCGTCTCCTGCTAAAGAAACCATGTAAGCATTGGCATTGCAACACTCAGAAGCTTTTCGGACAGCTCTGGTCTCAGAGGTCTGCGTGGGTGCCTATCATGAAAAGGAAGCTTAGAGGGAACTTCCGTGATACTGCAACTAACTGAAAGCTAACTCTCTGACAGAAGGCAACAGAGGAATGAGCGGTCACGTTCAATGTGTGCGCGCGTGGCGGGGGTACGAAACTGTCGGAGACATGCATCCCACTGCGGGTTTTTCCTTCGCACGCTCGAAAGTTTGCCTGATCGCGACAGCTGGTCAGAGCGGGCTCGGGGCGATATCGGAGCGACCGCGCCCATTGGCACGGACGCACGCGCTTTTCGACGTCGTTAGTTCGCGTGACAGGTGCCTAATCTCAAGGTGAGGTACAGATTGTGTGGCAAGTAATTCAGTTTTGAAAGCTCAGGTGCAAATTTCGTGGCAGCGCAGCACTTTGGTAATGTCAGGTCAGACTGCGCATTTCGTGGTGGACACAACACTTTCACAAGGTTAAGTGAAGGGCTTCGTGGCAGGCGCCACACTGTCGCAAGGTCAGGTGCAGATTTCGTGGCAGGGGCGCAGCGGTTTCGAAAGGTCAATTGTAGATTTCATCGCAAGCGCAACACTTTCACAGACTGGCGCCATGCGTTCGCAAGGTCAGGCGCAGATTTTGTGGCAGGCGCAGCGCTTTCCCAAGGCCAAGGCAAACAGATTAGAAAGATAGGCAGCTGAATGGACAGATAGGTAGGTAGAGAGACTAGGTTAGATTTAATCTAGACTACTCAGATAGATAGATAGATAGATAGATAGCTAGCTAGCTAGATAGATAGATAGATAGATACAAAGATAAGTAGATACATAGATAGATACTACTCAGATAGACAGCCAGCTAGATAGATAGATAGATAGATCGACTAGACAGACAAACAGACAAATAGATGGAAAGAAATAAAGAAGGAAGGAAGGACGTGGAAGAAAGGAAGGAGGGAAGGAAGGAAGAAAGGAAGGGAGGAAGGAAGAAAGAAAGGAAGGAAGAAGGGAGGAACTCTATAGTTCTTACATGTTTTGAGCTTTCTGCCCCCGCACTTTGCCGGCTCTACTGGTGGAATTTTACCTCCTTAACCACCAATGGACCTGGATATGACAAATTGTCAATCTCTTGGGACATTGCAGGTCAATCCTTTCGGTTTCTCGACGAAGCCGGTTAAGCATGAAGTACAGCGCCAAAACCACCTCACTTGCCCCTGAAGAACCGAAACAAACAAAAGGTTGACCTTGTGGAACCCTCAAGTGGACCAAGGAAAAACCAGATTAAACTTGGCGGGTTGTGAGGAACTGAGCCATTCAACCAAGGTGTCCTTTTGGACAAACTGAGGTACACTGGTACATGAGACCACGGAAGACCAGGGCCATCCATTAAGCATGCTAACAGATCAAAAAGACACCTATGCATCCAACCCCAAATGACCATGGGAAACTTTTGCCCATTTAGTGGTTGACATATCATCTTTTCCAACCAATCGTCACCCAGTGTCGCGGACCTTTTGATCAAGGCCCATGAACTTCGTCCATTCGCCTCAACAATCCTCACTTCCTGAGTGGCTCGGCCAGAACAAGTCTAAACTCATGTTTTTACCGCAAAACTGGTCCAAACCCCAAAAATGGTTTTAAAGTCCATGAGCCCAAAGAGCGCAACGGCCACGCCGCTGGCCGCTGGCCGAGGTGCTCCGCTTCCTCCGCCGGCCAAGCGCGGCCATTGCCCAAGGCCCAGGCAAGGGGCACCCCGTGGCGCCGGCAGAAACTCCTGGCGGGAGCTCCGGTTTTTTGAGGCCCGGCGCTTGGCTTTTGAACGGGCACTTGGTGACTTCCGTTTTCCCCGAATAAGATGGGCCTAGATCAGCGAGGGGTGGTTTGGGGCAGCTTGGAAGGGTTCCGGAGGGTTTCGGGGGGTTCGGGGCTGTTGGACTGGGCTGATTTTAAGGCTCGGTGCCCGTCTTGGGGGTTGGATTGATTCGGAAATCCGACCAGGAACGGGGGAGGGGGCTGATCGAGACAAAACCCACTGCGTTGAACCCGAGGGAAGCTCAAAGAAGCTGCTTCGCCTCTTGGTGTCTGTTGAAATGACACAGTTACAAAGGGTACCGCTTAAACACACATACGCACACCTTCGTCTGCGAGCATTTTATCTGGGCGCCTCAACTCCTCACCCTGCTCCGTGCCAAAAAGGCCGGGGAAGCTTCCAACGATGACCTGAGGAGAGGTCCATGACCCAAGGCCACGCGAGGCTGCGCGAGGCGCGTGGCCCTTGCCAACTAAGAAATACTGATGGGGTGGTGGCCCAACTAGTGGGACATTAATGCATTTGTGCGGGGGTTTTCAGGATCAGCTGCCTTGCCTTGCTGTCGTTCACAAAGAAGTCACCCAGCAAGGCGGCTTCCAGGTACATGTTGCCTGCACCAAGCCCCCCCCCCAAAACAAGAACAAACGATGCTGCTAACATTCACGGTCCGTGCCTTCAATCGGGCGCACATCCACATCATCACCCAAGAGCTGGTAGACTAGCCGCGCCAAGCCTCCACCAACCTGATTTCAGCCAGCGCATCCGCGCCTTCCCGACTCTGCATGGCAGCTCAGCCCATGACACGCTGGAAGGTCTGGCTGTTCGCCCAGAAGCTGTGCGAGTTGCTCTCTGCAACTCCCAGTAGGGTGCGTGCCACGGGCTCGCACCGCAAACCTTTGCACCAAAATCACTCAGCCGCGCACAAGGCAAAGCCAATGGCTCAGAAGCGGCACGTCCGTCCAATTCTCAGACAAGGCTCTCAGGTCCTGCAAAATGCTTCAACACTTTGCGCACAAGTGGGTGCATGTTTGAGGGTTGAGGGCAAAAGCCAAGCAGTTACAAGTCCTCGATGATCTTCATGATCCAGTCTGGCTTATGCACCGGTGTGACCGATTTGTTGCACACGGATTCCCAGCCCCCAGTGTCCTAGGCGCGAATGTGTGAGCTCACTCATTCTGCACAAGTACCCACTCAATATGGAGAACCCATCCAAAAAGCGCCTATTTGGTTCCCAACTCCGAGACACGCCTAGTGATTCGCACATCATTTCCAAAGACCATCGGCCAACAGGGCCCCAAAGTGACATCCTCCAGGTAACCCCCCAAGCTGAGAACTCGACCAATCACTTTCAGGGCTCAGTTACGCCACAAAAATGCCTTAAACAAACAGAATGCGGTTGTGGGGTACTTTAGGATCAACTTTATACTCAGATTCACGTGGAACACAACAACCCACACTTTTTGGAGGACCCTTTTTTGAGTTCCACCTTAAATTTGCAAGGCAAATCACTCGCGTTTCTGTCGAAGGTGTCTTGGCTTAAAGATATTCAAATGGCAAAAAGTTAAAACCGCCCAACACGTGGTTGCAGTTGACCCCTCTGCAAAAAGTTGAAAACGTTGCTGTTACCACATAGTGGTACAGAGAGTGGGGTGGCCCTTTTCCTGGGCTGTTCTCAGAACCCCGGCTGCAAATCTGACTTTTAGCGGGTTCTTGGACACTACCACTACTAGGTCCTCCAGTAGAGAGGTTAGAATAAGGGTACCCATTGTTCTGTAGTCTATTTTCGTAGGGGAACCCTCCCCCCAAAAGAGTGAAAGGGCACTACTGGGGGACGTAGACTAATTAAACCACCTACAAAGCTAAACGCCTGAGGAACCGACGGCGGGGAGTTCCGCCAAGTTCGATCCCAAGTGTCGGCGCCCAAGACCAGGCCCCGCTCGCGCACCACGTCGTCCCGCAGGACTGCAGCCATCGCGCCGTAGCCTCGGACGCAGAGTTTGGGAGGTCCTGCAACCCTAGGTGGCCTTTTGGAAAAATAGATGGCCCTGGTAAACGGAACAAACCCCCGAACACGGGTTGCGTCATTCTTTTCTTTCTTTCTCAAGCACCGCAGGGTCTGGCCCTCTCTGCTCTAGCAACGCGCTGCCTCATTGGGCATAATCAGGCCCCATGCGTGCGCCAGATGTTCTGGCAAAAGCACACAAATTCTGGGCCCGCTGAGCAAAAGCGAGGTCATCTGTCTGTGCGCCTCGCTCACCAAAACTACCATCACGGCAGATATCAAAAAGGGCCTGGCTCAGGCCAGGAGGGTATTCTTTCCCCTTAGCCGTCATCCATTTGACCCGTCGCAGCATCACGCCCTTTGATCGTGATAAGAGGCTTCCTCAAGTTCCAAGGCAAAATGCGGGAACCCAGGATGTCTCGAGCCCTACCTCCATTGATGACCAAGAGGTGCGTGGGTTTGACAGAGGCGGCTCCATAATGGTGCTGCTTGATCAGCACCTTGTCCACACCAGGCAAGGACAACATCCTTCTCATAAGAAACAACACAACTAACATCATCATCAAGCCGAACCCATACACAACATCCTGGGCAAAATCAAACTCAGTAAATTCGATGAGCGCCGCGGCATTCGAGACAACAATGTTAGCGAATCTTGGGTACCCAAGATTCAATGGACACACCACCGCATAGGGAATGAAATGCCACCATGGGACAGATTGGGAAACCAACAACAAATCCGCATAACAAACGGGAGGAACAATAATCAAATCAAGAAACAGCGACGAACACAACAGTGCAAACGCCGTCCGTTGCCTCCGCCCACACTTATCCCAGTCAGCCACTGGAATGACGATCGGAAGAACGCCGAACGCCGCAATCACGATCAATCCTACAAAATTCAAAGACGACGACGATGCGGCAAATCACTGAGATTATAAACAGAATCACCGATGGGGCCAACACACCACTGCTGCTATGAGCGGACGCACCCGATCGCTCTCCCATCTGCCCAGCAGCAAGAAGCATGACGAAATACGCCACAGGTAGCAGAACTTTCAGACCAACGCGCATACCTACATCGCGTGGCGCCAAAAACATCAAAATCAACAAGAAAGCCAACAAAATCGACGTTAACACGCAGGGAGAATTGTCAATCTTAGACGTGGACGCCGGATAGGTAGCAAAAGCCAACTCATACAAGATCCCCAATCCACTGGCGATCCCAAGGCACGGCGCCACATCATACAGCAGCTGCCGATCAGCGATGGCGACAGTACTGACCAACCGCAGGCAGGCCGCCGCGTCTCCAGAAAAAGCGAACCCACCCTGACACTGATAGCGCAGCATGACCGCCTTAGACTCCGACGAGCAAGCACGGTGACTAGTGGTAGCGTGCACGGTGTTCACCGTCCAGAGCGGACTGCTCAGTCATAGCTGGAATAAGCTCTGGAACTACTTCAAACAACATGCCAACTGCACCGATGAACGCACATCCAGGACGCGCGTACATCTCCTTAAGCCCATACAAAATCTCGTCTCCACCAACGCTCCACATCCCTCCACGACATGCAGTCGATACTGGTGCGACGGCGCCGCGCTCATCCTTAATGACTACGTCCGTGCGCATAGAAACGCATGAGCACACAGTGACACAGGTCGCCTCATCCAAGTCGCCCAACACACACCGCGTCAGTCCGTCATTGATGCGCTTCGTCCGACTGATGGATTGCGCCTGCCACACCTCCTCGACTCCCGATACACGTACGTCCTTCAGCACTTCACCCCACACGCACGTGTCGACGGTCAATATCGGATGAGGAAGTTGGAAGGACACAACACCATCAAAACCAGACCCACATCGTGCATACAACGCACGCACAGGTCGACGAAGAAACGCTCGATCGGGACCTATCACATGCACGCAGTGCAAGCCGAGAGATCAAATCGGAGGTAACCCGCTGATTCCACAACGCCTTCCGGATGATCTTCGACAAGAACCGCACCACCGAGAAGGTCATCCGATCGATGCGGGAAACAATCTCACGGTATGGAAGGACCCTACCACCATTAAGTGCATTCACAACTCGCGTGTCCGTATCAACCGCTGATGAGAACCTGCAAATCGTGTCTCGGTTCAACACGGCCGTAGACGGAGCTTCAATGAATGACGCAACATCGACCAGCGCATGCGGTCCACGAGACAATACCACCTTGTCACCGGTGAACTCATTCCACAACTCCACGCACACCTTCGGCTTCTGCCCCTTAGGAGGTATCGACCTCCGACCATCATCGTCAACCACTGACGCATCACGCGCATACACTGCATTGTACAACTCCAACGGGACGTACTCCACTGGAAGACTGGCCGCGGGGACCAGCCTCCAACTTCCATGCGGATTCCCCGGAACGACCAGGCGAACCCTAACATAACCAGGACCAGAGTACGCCGGATGATTGGACAACGCCGCGGCTCTATGCACTGCCGATTCCGCAAGGGTAGCCATCAGCAACAACATCGCAATGCTACCACCCATTCCACTCACCGGACTCCCCTTTGTCCTTAGACTTCCACGACGACCCACCGTCCTTCCACCCACCTCCAGTGGAAGACGGATCGTCCAGGGTAAACCGCATAAGCGCAACAACGCCGGCATGATGTACGCACAGCACGAGGCGCAGTGAAACCGTGGCCAACACAGCCACATCGCCTCAGGCACACCAACCATCCACGCACCATCGACACTAATTTTCGCAGTCAAAACTCGCAAGTCTTGAGTCCAAATGGCTACGGAGGGTTGCGTCAACTCGAAACAAAAACAAGTGGCACTCTCAAAATGGCACTCTGACTGGTGACTTGGAGGGGAGCATCCCACAAGATCAAGAAACCCCGAAAATGCACCCGCTTAGGCCGACGGCCCAAGTCCCATTCCAGGACTCCGAGCGCTGAACTCCGAGCGCAAGCTTTCGGGTGTTGCCAGCAAGGTACCTTCCACTGCGATCAGCGAAAGCACTCTCACCTAGAAAAAAGCATCCCGGGATTAACAGACCCCCATGTGTCTGTCTTTTTTGAGTGTACCCACTTGTTTGTGGTTTAAAAGCAACCCAAAAGGAACTTAAAAGGAAAAACACTAACTCCAACACACTCCCTGGTGGAGTAGCGTGTCCTTCTGGGGCCGCGCTGAAAAACCCTTCGATTTTCACGCCAGCTTGACGCCGTGTTCTTTTCTGACTCTCTCTCTCTCTCTCTCTGTCTGCCTGTCTCTCTGCTTGTCTTTGTTTGTCCTTGTCATTTCTGTCCATCTCTGTCGATCTCTGTCTGTCCTTGTCTGTTTCTTTCTATTGACGTTTGTGTCTCTCTGTCTCTGTCTGTCTGTATCTCTGTGTCTCTCTCTCTCTCTCTCTATCTGTCCGTGTCTGTATGTCTTTATCTTTTTTTGCTTGTGTCCCTCATTCCGTCAACCTCCAGGTTAGAGTCGGCCGTGCAGAGACAGTGTGAGAATTTGGCCCAGGGAACGGCAGTGGTGTGTGAAATGAAGAATTTCAAAACAGGGCTGCTCCCAAATCCCCTGCAAAAAGTGAAACTTCTAGTGGGTTAAATGGAAACTGCTAAACTACAACTAAACCCTAAAAAGCTTGACCGCCCATAGGGACCGGGGCCTTTTGCTGGGCATCAGCAAAACATGGATACATAAATATCTGCCAATCATTTTGCTGGTGACCCAAAAGACAGGTCAAACCTCCCTGGTCCCTGGCTGGTGGAACTCCCTAAGGGTCCTTTTGGAAATATGCCCTCCCATCCACGAACATGGAACCTGACCTGGGGGCATCCCGGAAAACAATCATCGTAGGTGCCATGATACTGTGCAGGCGGGCACCCATATTTTGAGACAAACCCACTGTTGGACGAAACTCATTTCGCACCACCTCAGAAACAAATCCTGGAATGATGATTCTCCTGTACATACTGATATGGCCATGTGTCAAACTCCTGAACCCTCAGTGAACATCCCAATCCCCACTAAAATAGGCTAAAATGGGTGGTGCGCCTACCCGACCTTTGGCGCTGCGAACGGATTTCGGGGACCCATCCACACCATCCACCTGACTGAGTGCCTCAGCTGCCCGTCCGGGACCCGTCCTCCCGCCCTCGCCTCGGCCGCAGCCGTGCCTCCTGCTCGGTGGGCTGCGCAAAGCGCTGGAAGGCGGGCAGGCCGTAGAGCCCCGTCTCTGCGGCCTCCAAAATGCCTCGGCTCAGGCCGGGCTCAGGCCAGCAGCTTGGGCTTCCCAAACCTGAGCCTCACAGGTGTGTGTCCATTTTTTGGGCAAATGGATATGGGCCCTGGCTTGGAAATTGGAGCCACACTTAAAAACCAGTGCCAGCAACATTGTCCCATCCAAGGCAATCCAGGATTATGCCTTGAGCGGCAAAAGGGAGCACCGGGAAAACAGGAGCTACCTTTGTTTGGACTGGAAATGTTCCGTGCAAACAAACAGAAACGGTTGAGTCCAACACCAAGTAGGCGAACGAGTGAATGGACCAACTCTGCAAATGGCGAGGAAAGTGTGTCAGAAAGCGGATAACGATACTCGTTGAACAACACCTGGAGCGAACACATAGCAGAGCGAGTTCTTGAATACAAACACAACATGGGGTGCATGTGTTTCGCACTAGCTAGTTAACAGGGCTGCTGCTTTGATGGGCCATGATGGGCCTTTAGGTCGTAAATTGCTGAGCCAGCCCCTTTTGGCTTGCCGCAACGGTTTGCGGCACCAAGTCACAACAAGCCTTCAGTCACTTCATCTCATCCAACTTCATTACAGCTTTGCTTGCCATAGGTGCGCCGTCACTCAACTGCTCAACTGGCAACACTCTGTCACTCACTCTTGTCACCCTGAAAGTTGTCATCTTGAGTGGTAGGTTCTTGGTATGGGCTTGAACAGAACCCCCCCCCCAAAAAAAAAAAGAACCTAAAAAGAAACACACAAAACATGGAACGAACCACCTGCTCCAAGAACCGTGAAGCGGTCCTTTGGATCTTGGGCCAAGGGGCCCCATTGCGCCTGCGACACATTGGCCACGATGGAGGAGTTCAAGGTCTTTAGCTCCCAGATGCTCGGGAAGCGGCCCTGGAAAGCGTCCACCGTCTTCAGCCCCAAAGCCTGGCTCGAAACGGGGAGGGACCGGTGCGAGAGGTTAGAATAAGGGTACCCCCTTCTTTCTGTAGTCTAGTTTAGTAGGGGAACCCTCCCCCCAAAGGATAAAAGGGCACTACTGGAAAACCTGGAAACCTGGGAACCAGTGCGATAGGTGAGGAATGGCAACTTCTGGGGAAATGAACTGTTTGGGTCAATGGACATGGCACGTCAGAACTTGGGAATACCAGTCATGACTTAGTGGTCGGTTGATCTCTTTGTAAAAGGAAAGAAAAAAGGAAACTGTTTGGGATTTCTGCAAGGAACACATAGATGGTTGATAGAGGTCATTCCCTCATAATCCTGCTGGGGAACCAGCAAGAGTAGGGACCTTCACAAAAATGTTTGGGCCCCTATCGCCTCAAGGGAGGGTCGTCCAGTTTCATGTGCCCAAAGAAGAAACTGCGATATCTCAGCTTTCTTCAAGAGGGAAATCATGAAGCCTGATGCAGCACTGGCAGCAACTGCCCGCACACACACACACACACACGCAACACAAACACAAACACAAACCCAAACACAAACAAACAAATCAAAGACACCAACATACTAACTAAAACTAAGCCAATAAGCAACCAACCAACAAGCAAACAACCAAAACATGGAAATAATGAACTACTGACACACCACACTAACACACACACACACACACAAACACACACACACACAAACACACACAAACAACGAAACAAACAAATAAAAACACAGACACGATACCAACCCACACCAGCATCCAAATTTGCGACCACAACCGCGCCCGCCACAACACCACCACACCACCACCACCGCCACCGCCACCGCCACCACCAGCAGCAGCAGCAGCAGCAGCAGCAGCAGCGGCGTCAACACAAACAAGCAAGCAAGCACGCAATCGACCAACACAACAAAGAAAGACAAAGAAACAGGCCAAGGAACACAGAAACAACGAAACAAACATGCAACCACAAACAACAAAATCAAGCAACACAAACCAAACCATACTGCAGCAAACACACAAACAAATTATATATAACACAAAGAAGCAAACAAAGACAAGAGGACAGAAACAAACAAAAACACCAAACACTCAAATAAGCGCACAAGTGAACCAACATACAAACAAACAAGCAAGCACGGGCAAGTACAAGCAAGCAAGCAAGCAAGCAAGCAAGCAAGCAAGCAAGCAAGCAAGCAAGCAAGCAAGCAAGCAAGCGCAAGACAGCCAGCCAGCCAGCCAGCCAGCCAGCCAGCCAGCAAGCAAGCAAGCAAGCAAGCAAGCAAGCAAGCAAGAAAGCAAGCATAAAACTGCAAACAATCACACAACTGCAAACACACATAAACAGCAAAACACCACACACGCAAGCAAGTAGTCGAGTCAACGCAACTCAACCCAAAACACCATCATGAATCATAAGCAGAATCAAACAGTCACTCGCTCACTCACTCACACAATGAACTAAACAATGAAGCAACCAATGCAACCAACCAAACACTCCATCAAACCATCAAAGCATCCATTCCATCCATGAAACAAATGAAGCATCATAGAATCATACTCATAATCAGTGAATCAATCCACACATCAACCAGATGCGTCAATCAACTCAAACCAAGCCAAACCAAATCAACCAGTCAACCGATACAAAGCAAACACACGCACACACACACACAAAAAAAAAGGACACACACACACAAGCACATCCACCCCCTCCCACATGCCCCACGCACCCAGACCCGCGCTCCCATACACACGCACACACACCCATGCGCACACCCGCACACACACACAGAGCTTCCCACGCACACACACACACACCCATGCCACAGAACTGCGCAGCCAAAGCGGCAGACTCCCCAGGATGATCCTTCAAGCTGTCCGCATCCAAGCCGAAATTCGTGACCCACTCCAAATCTTGCAAGGCTGCCTTGGTCAATGGCTGCTTGTTCCGATCAAGCACTCAGTTTGAATCCCGAAAGAGAAAACACGGCTCTTTCAAATAATAATAAACAAAAACAGTTGTCACTGCAGATCCCCTTCAAAAGTTGCAATTTACTGGTGAAATCAATTGAAACTGCAAGTCCTTTGGAGGTTCCAAAGCAGGGAAACTAATGCAGGAACGTTTCCACAAACACGATGTTTCGCCTCTCTGTTTGGAGGTTTGCCCCGCAAACAGCTGCAGCTCGCAAATCACGTGGACCACGCTCATGCCTCAATCACCTCATCCGTAATTGGTGATTGGGATTGAAGATTTGAGACCTACCTCACTTCAAGCCCCACAAAGGCTGTGCTTCAGCGTTTCGGCCTCGCCCGTGTCCATCCAATTTCAGTTTTTTTCAGGATAGCTACATGTCCAACAAGACCCCGAAGCACCACATGAAACTTCTCAGAAGATCTTTCGCCA